GTTTGTTAGAGTTACGCGAACACCCCAAACTTCACCGGACGCTTCCCAGCCCAGGTTCGCAGAATATCATCTCGGTCTTGTGTTCCTGCCTACCCAGTTTTTTTTTTTTTCAAGAGGGCAGGCCAAGACTGAAGAATGTGACCGCCGCAAGCAGAACGAGCCGCAGATGTCGCTGCTCGGCATGACTGTCATGCCCGCCCCTTCCCAGGCTGAGCACGACCAACAGGTCAGGATTCAAGATCCGTATCTCACCGCTGGGACAAGGTTGGGGTTGTCATGGGTGAATAGCCGGCCTAGACCACCAAGTGCATTCTCCAGTGGTAGAGTATGGTGGAGGAAACCTGTCGTTTCCTCCCACCTGTGGAGCTGCCTAGGGTGTTGACCCCTTCCCAATAGAGTCCCCTAATGTTACAGTAAATCCCTCTCCCCTTGTGTTTCCTGCCCCAGCACTCCGCAGGTCCAGCCGACTCCAGAAACAAAAGGTTCCTTAAGATGAAACTATGAGTGTACAGGGGAGGTGTATATATGGACACAGTAGTACCTTAAGCTGTGTATTCTTATATTACTCTATTAATTATGCATAGTAAAGTACAGAACATGTATATATGGACACAGTAGTACTAAATCTGTGAATTTTACTATATACATAATTAATACAGTAATATAAGAATAAACAGCTTAGGTACTACTTCATGTCCATATTATACAACATGTATTAATCTCCTATGTAATGTTTCCATTTATTATGCACCATGTTATGTATATGTATTATCATATTTACATATTATGTTTTTCAGCTTGTGAACGCTGGCATCTGTGCATGCCAGCGCGAGTGATACATCGAGTTGAGATCGCTAGTCCTTATGGCGTGGAAAGCCACTGTTTATTTGTTCCTCTGTATTTGTCTCCATACGAGAATAAGAACCAAATTTCAAGATAACAAGTGTTTGCGTATATCCTCAGTAGTGTAGAACAGTATCAATGACAGACTTACTATTAAGTCTGTATTATTCCACTCATCAGTCAAGCCTAGCAAGACTGTGTTATTCACTCCTCAGACATAACTATTAGGACTGTGTTATTCACGCCTCAGTCAAGACTATTAAGACTGTATTATTCACTCATCAGACAAGACTAGTTAGACTGTCTTATTCACTCATCAGACAAGACTAGTAAGACTGTGTTATTCTCTCCTCAGACAAAACTGTTAAGACTGTGTTATTCACGCCTCAGAGAAGACTATTAAGACTGTATTATTCACTCATCAGACAAGACTAGTATGAATGTGTTATTCACTCATCAAACAAGACGAGTAAGACTGTCTTATTAACTTCCCAGACAAGACTAGTAAGACTGTTATTCACTTCCCAGACAAGATTAGTAAGACTGTATTTTCACTCATCAGACAAGACTATTAAGACTATGTATTCATTCCCAAGACAAGACTAATAAGAGTGTTAACTTCCAGACAAGATTAGTAAGACTGTGTTATTCGCTCCTCAGACAAGACTATTGAGACTGTGTTATTTATTCCTAAGACTAGACTAGTAAGCCTGTATTACTCACTCCCCAGACAAGACTCGTAAGACTATGTTATACACTCCACAGACAAGACCCATAGGACTGTGTCATTCGCTCCTTAGACGAGACTCGTAAGACTGTGTAATAAACTCCCAGACAAGACTCGAAGATTTGTTATTCACTCCCAGACAAGACTAGCAAGACTGTGTTGTTCACTTCTCAAACAATACTCTTAAAACTGTGTTATTCACTCTCAGACAAAACTCGTAAGACAGTGTCATTCACTTATCAGAAGAGACTCATAAGACTGTGTTATTCACTCCTCAAACAAGACTCTGAAGACTGTGTTTTTCTCTCAGACAAGAATCGTAAGGCCGTGTTATTCACTGCTCATACAATACTCGTAAGGTGTAAAATTCACTACTTAGACGAGAATCGTAAGACTGTGTATTCAATCCTCAGACAAGACTTATAAGACTATGTTATTACTCTTCAAACAAGATTTAACATCCAGTTATTTACTCCTCAGACAAGACTCGAAAGAATGTGTTATTAACTACTCGTACAAGACTAGTAAGACTGTTATTCACTCTCCGAGACAAGGCTAGTAATGTGTTATTTACTCCACAGGCATACTCATCAGACTGTGTCATTCACTTAGACAAGGCTCGTAAGACAGTTATTCACTCCAAGACAAACTCGTAAAACTATGATAGTCATCAGACAAACAATAATAAGACTGTTTTATTCATTTCCAGACAACTTTCGTATTGATATTCACTCCGTACATAAGACTCGTAGGACTGTGTTATTCGCTCCCTGACAAGATTTGTAAGACTCTGTCATTTACTCCTCAGAAAAGACTCGTAACACTGTTATTCACCTCAGACAAGAGTATAAAGAATGTGTTGTTTACTCATAAGACAAGCCGAGTAAGACTATTATTCACTTCTAGAGAAGACACGTAGGAATGAGTTATTCACTCGTCAGACAAAATCGTGGCTGTAAGTTATTCACTCCCCAGACAAGACTCGTAAGACTGTTATTCACTGCTCAGACTAGACTCAGAACTGTGTTATTCACTCCTTAGACACAGACTCGTATGACTTCCCAGACAAGATTCAAGTCTGTGTTATTCACTCTCATTAAAGACTTAGAAGATTGTGTTTTCACTCCTCAGATATGAATCGTGAGACTTTGTTATTCACTCTCAAACAAGACTCGTAGGACTGTGTTATTCTACTCTCTGACGAGAATCGTTAGACTGTGTTATTTACCCTTAGACAAGACTCGTAAAACTGTGTTATTCATTCCTCAGACAATAGTTAAAAGACTGTTATTCACTCCTCAGACAAGACTCACATGATTTTGTTATTCACCTCACAAGACTAGGAAGACTGTTACTCACCTCATACAAGACTCGTAAGACTGTGATATTCACTCCCCAAACAAGACCAATAAGGCTGTGTTATTTACTCTTCAGACAATTCTCCTTAAGACTGTGTTATTCACTCCTCAGACAAGACCTGGAAGACAGTGTTATTCACTCCTTACTCAAGATTTGTAAGACTGTGTTATTCCATCCTCAGACAAGTCTCGGAAGACTGTGTTATTCACCTCAGTCAAGACTAGTAAGATTGTGGTATCTACCTCAGACGAGACTCATAAGACTGTTATTCACTCTCAGACAAGACTCAGAAGACTGTGTTATCTTCTTAGTCAAGAGTCGTACGACTGCCATTCACTTTTCTTGCAAGACTCCGTAAGACTGTGTTATTGACTCCTCAAACAAGACTCGGAAGACTGTGTTATTCACCCTCAGACAAGACTACTAAGACTATGTTATTCACTCCTCAGACAAGACTCGTAAGACTTAGATTCAATCCTCTTACAAGACTCGTAGGACTGTTATTCGCCCTCATACAAGACTCGTAAGGCTGTGCTATTCACTCTCTGACAAAACAAATAAGATATTGTTATTCACCTCAGACAAGACTCGTATGACTGTTATTCATTCCCCAGACAAGTCTCGGAAGACGGTGGTGTTATCTCAACCTCAGACAAGACTGGTAAGACTGTGTTATCTCCTCAGACAAGACTCGTAAGACTTAGTTATTCACTCATACAAGACTCGTAAAAATGTTTTATTCACTTCTCTGTCAAAAAAAATAAGACTGTGTTATTCACTCCCAGAAGAGACTCGCAAGACTGTGTTATTCATTCCCAGACAAGACTCATAAGACTGTGTTATTCACTCCTTACACAAGACTAGTAACACTTTTTATTCACTCCCCGACAAAACTAGTATGACTGTGTTATTCACTCTTCAGACAAGACTAGTAAGACTGTGCTATTCACTACTCAGACAAAACAAATAAGACTGTGTTATTCACCCCTTGAGACAAGACTCTAAGACTGTGTTATTCATTCCCCAGACAAGACTCGTAGGACTGTTATGCACTCCTCAGACAAGACTTGTAAGACAATGTTATCTACCTCAGACAAGACTCGTAAGGCTTTCATTCATTTTTTGCAAGACTCGTAACACTGTGTTATTCACAGATAAGACTAGTAAGATGTGGTATTCAGTCCTCAGACAGGACTAGTAAGACTGTTTTTTCACTCCCCCGACAAGACTATGACTCTGCATTCATCTCCCAGACAAGACTCGTAAGACTGTTATTTACTTCTCTGACAAAACAAATAAGACTGTGTTATTTCTCCTCAGACAAGATTTGTAAGACTGTGTTATTCACTCCCCAGAGAACACTAGTAAGACTGTACTATTCATTCATCAGACAAGGCTAATCAGGCTGTGTTCACTCTCAGACAAGACTCGTAAGACTGTTATTCACTCCTCAGACAAGACTCGTAGGGCTTTGTTATTTACTCCTCAGACAAGAATCGTAGGACTCCTTATTCACTCTTCATACAAGATTCATAGGACTGTATTATACATTCCTCATACAAGACTCGTAGGACTGTGTTATTCACCCTCAGACAAGACTCAGACAGTGTTATTCACCTCAGACAAGACCTGTAAGACTGTGTTATTCACCTCAGACAGGACCTGTAAGACAATTATTCGCCCTCAGACACGACTCCGCAGGACTGTGTTATTCACCCTCAGACAAGACTAGTAATATTATGTTATTCGTCCTCAGACAAGACTTGTAAGACTGTGTTATTCATTCCCCAGAGAAGACTCGTAAGACTGTGTTATTCACCTCAGCTAAGACTCGTAAAACTGTGTTATTCACGCCTCTGCGGAGACTCGTAAGACTTGTGCTATTCAGTGAAGACTCCTTCTGAATGTGTTTCACTCCTCAGACAAGACTCTAAGATTATGCCATATACAGTACACTGCAGATGTGACAGGTGGGTATCACTACCTTGCTCACCATTCTCTACGTGAAGTTTTAATTGCGTGTTAATGTTTTCTCTTGTTCAGGTGTAGAGTGTCGTGTGCTGGACGTGAGGATGGGCTTGCATCCGTTCCCTGGCTAATGACTTCACAGATATCGATGTTCTCTTCAACTGTGCCGGGTCAGCCTTGGTGTTACACTTTATGTCACAAAATTCGCAGTTTTGTTTTCGCATGTACATAACTGTCAGTTTTTTCCTCCGCTCTATGTCACAAAAAGTCTAACTTGTCTTAACACTGTCACACTACTGTCCGTTTAACTGTCACACAGCTATCAGTTATCCTTGTTCATCTCTCTGATCCAGATCATGTTCCTCGTGCAACGTGTTCTACCTACCTTAGCTACTCTTGACGATGTTATTACTGAATGTGAACACACTGTTATGTTATAGGTCAATCATATAGTATATATAATGGATTTATCGTAAACAACTATTACCTCACCCGGTTTCGTATACAACTATTACCTTAATCTGTCTCTGTAAACAACCATTACTTTAATCTGTGCTTCGTAAACAACCATTACCTTAATCTGTGTCTCGTAAGCAACCATTACCTTAACCTGTCTCGTAAACAACCATTACTTGAACTTGTACCTTGTAAATAGCCCATGTCTCGTAAACAACCTATGCAATTGTTTGCTGCTCTGCGTCATGTTATATTCTGCATCTAAGCTGTGATAAACTTGCCTTAAGATTTTGTTAATTTATTTTGCTGGAACGATTACTGTCTCCTGTTTTCCAGACTTTAATTCAGCTAAGTTAGTGAGAGATCCATTTCAATATAATATTTTTTAACACAGTTCAATACAATATATATTTTTTATTTTCACATTTGATATTTTTCGTTTTCTATTGGGCTTTTTGGTATCTTCAGCTGAGGTGGTATAATTCAGTCTGTGGATCATTAACACCAATTTTTCCTAGAATATATTGATAACAAAATTATTCCTAATTTCCGAGTATAAGTTTCGCATACCAAAAAAAAAAAATATTTAATGTGTTACCGAACGGAGGTAGCAGTTGAGCAGAGACTTATGAGTATATCATTTCGACTTACCAACACACATTCTTATTATTAAGGATAACCGCGCTACTTGAACCGAGGTATGTCGAGGTCCTAGAAATTACTTGCAAAATTATAAAGCTTATTTTACTAAATAAGTACTGCCATTCTTCATTGCCTGAGCATCAACACATTCACCTCCTCACTCTGCTTCAGGTACGTTCACGCAGGCAACATTCTGGATACAACAGAAGAACGATGGGACTATAGTTTTGATGTGAATGTGAAGAGCATGTATTATACTATCCAAGCCTTCATTCCCCAGGTGGGTAGCACTTTATTCAGGCCTTAGCCGCCTGGTTAATATGTCTAGATTATGTTGGTCAGGTCGGATTAAGCTAGGTCTAGTTAGGTTAAAAACTTTTGGTTACGTCAGGTTAGGTCAGGTTAGGTTAGATCACATTTGGCTAAATGAGGTTAGGTTGGTTTAGGTTAGATCACATTTAGTTAAGTCAGGTCAGTTTAGGTCAGGTTAAGTTAGATCACATTTGGCTGAGGTTAGGTCAGGATGCTACGGTAAGTCGGATTAGGTCAGATTAGGTTAAATTAGGTTAGCTTAAGACAGGTTAAGTTAGATTTAGTTGTCAGTCTTGATCAAAGTAGGTAAAGTTAGGGCAAGTAACAGTACGTTAGATCAGGTAAGATTAATCCAGGCTAGTTTAGGTTAGTTCAGGTTACGTTAGGTTATGTTAGAACTATAGAATAACCACTTTTCTGAGCCACAGGTATTACTACTATATAATACCAGTAACAAAGTATCACTGTCACATCTATTATTACTGTTATTAACATAGTATAACTGTATACATTACTAATGCTACTTGTATCGCTACTATCATAGCTAGGTAAGGGCGCTTTCCTTCTTCACACTATTTTACATATAATCTTGTTTCAAATATCTCTTATATTTACTTTTCTTGTTATTATTCTTCAATACTTTTATACTCTCTATATTCTTCTTTCTTATATTCTTATTTACTTATTTTCTTGCTCAAGTCTATCATTTATTTTAATCTTTTCTATGTATATATTTAATAATTTAATATGCTGTGTCTTTCTTTCTACAGTATATCTTATATTTCTTTGCCTATATTTTCCAAGTCACATTTTTTTACTTCATTTCTTTTCAAATATTATTGTATTTTCTGAATTTCTATGTTCTTACCCTTTCTCAAGTATATCCTGGTTTTAATTATATTCTGAACCATGTATTAATCTGGGAACCATGTCATTCTTATTACAACACTTATTATACTTACAAACGGTAGCCTGCCACCAGTTAGACATTTATTAGAATATATCATATCTCATGGAACTGTTAGCTAGCCTGCTCGCGAGCTTCTAGGCTCATGAGTTACAATAGTTATTTTCTGAGAACCAATGTAGAAAGAAAGAGTGGTGATACACGTAGTTAACTACTTTAATATTTATTAACATACGTGTGAATAAGATGTTAATTAAGTTCATCAGACCAGACTGGACCAATTTAGTCTTTTACAAGTAACACATTAAATCTTCAATTTATTACATCATTAAACAGCTGTTGTATTATTTCTTTGACAAGTGAGCTGGTTACTTTAAACGTTCGGTTAGGACTGAACCCTCAGGTCTTACTTTACAAGAAACAAAAATAGATATTAATTTCTTGATTACAATATTTCACACTCATTATTTTACTTCATTGTCAATACAGATGATTATATAATCTACTAGACAAGATCCAAAATATAGATATTATCAGACACATCCTGTTAGTTCGAAATGAACATGGCACTTTAACTAGCATTCAGTGGTAGTACATCTGGTTGGTAGACTCAACAACAGTACCACTGGTAACACCAACACTCATGGGTTTAAGACTTAACCTGGGATAACTATATTTCTGCTAGTTAATCCCCAATCATAGATACCAATACTGCTCAATACATGTAGCCAAGATCAATAGACGGACAAGACTGCGTCCACTTGTGACGGAGTTGTTTACACAGACAGGCAAAGCCCGCTAACAAGGAGCGCCTGGGAGGGTAGACTTCCTCACGGCGTTCTCTCTGTAATCGTCCTCGGATTCTTATCTCGCCATATTAAAGACATCCTTGAAAGACCATCTTGCCCATAAGTGGCTACTGCACTCAGTAGTGGTGATAATAACAAACAGTGCCTGGAGATGCGTTGAGGAATAGTCACGAACTTGTGATTTTTCCTTGTGCATCCGTATATACATGAGCCTGGGGTAGTTCCGGTCCACATATATACCAGAAAGGCTAATCTCACCAACAACAGAAATTATATTCAACTCGGTCGCAGTACACTCAACTATGAAAATCAATGTCACGTGTCAGGTGAATTTTCCACGTCTATCCTATAATCTAATCATAGATTGAGTCTGTCAGAAAAAGTGAAATGGACATTAAACATCACACCTAACAACTCTACTTACAGGAAACCACAGCCAATGAATTCTTCCTGAAAAAGCCGTTAGGTCTTGAGATTTTGAGCTTGACAGAACCCAGATAAATGACTCTAAAATAGACAACTGACACTAAATAAACTACCAATATCCGATTCGCTGATGTTTGGGCATCAAACAATCTAACTTCAGTAGCACTTGAACTCATGGCTATCCCCAAGGACGATATATAAGATATGCCACCATACTAGACACTCTTACTAGACAAGTTTTACTACAATAAAGATAGTTGAAGTTTTCAACATCACTTAATGGATCTTGAAAGTCCAACTGTAATCAGACATATTTAAGTTGCCCGCAATCAAAATGCTGTCAATACCTAAGGAATAAACGAAGTCTCTGCACTCTAAGATTGAGAGAAAACGGAGGACTCAGGCGTCCTGAAGTGATGGAAAACGACTCTCAAACGGGGAACTGAATTAAAGAAAGCATAGCTACATGTTTTGGGCTATAGTGTAATATGAATCGTCTGATTTACGTTAACTGGCGTGAATGACCGTGGTCATAACACTTGTACCTTTACTATCACAACTTCTACCACTACTAACACCATTTCGTATCTAATATACTAGACCAGGCGCCCTGCCTGTCTGTCTGTTCTGGGCAGCCTAAATGGCACAATTGCTTTCATCAAACCTCAGGAAAAAATCGCAAAAAATCGTAGAGGGAACAAACCTGGTCCCACATGTCGGCGGTCTCTTTAGGAACGCATTAATTAACGATTTTATTTACGCTGGCAACAGATGTCACTGCACGCCGTCAGCAGGGCAGACGATAGTAAATATCAGATGGTTCCCTCCTCCTCCCCCACTTTTTTCTTTACTTTTTTAAAGTTGTTGGATTAGTAAAGGAAGGAAGATGAGTAAATAGAAAAATAAAAGAAGGGAAACAGACACAGTTAGAGATAACAGGAGGGGAGCTGAGTTTCATCACGCGTGTGGATGCAGTTTCAACTTTACCAGAGCATTTTCAGACCCACGAGGTTACAGTGTACTTATTCCTGTCGACGATTGCAGTTATCGTATGGCTCCCTCCTCCTCCCCACTTTTCTCTTACTTTTTTGTTGTTTGGATTAGTAAAGGAAGGAAGATGAGTAAATAGAAAAATAAAGAAGGGAAACAGACAATAGTTAGAGGTGGAGGGAGCTGAGTTTCATCATCGTGTGGATGCGCGGTTTCAACTTTACCAGAGCATTTTCGGACCTTACGAGGTTACAGTGTGTACTTATTCCTGTCGCTGACTGTACATGGAAAGGAGAGGAGATAAAAGATAAGAACAGGAATGCATGGAGAAGATGACTACAATAGACACAGGGTGAATATAAACAGTTAGACAGACAGGAGGTTGACAAAAATAGACAGATTCATACATGCACAAATAGACAATATGACAACCAACATGACAGACAAACAGAGACAGACAGACAGCTGACTGACTGGTTCACATCAGACAAACAGGCAGACACACGACAACAATGGATAAGACAGACAGACTTGACGACACAAAGAGTACAGACAGGCTTACAGAAAACACCACGTAGAAGAACAGACAGTTGGGATGGCAATAGACAGGACGGAAAAACTTGAGACAGATTAGAAGGCATTTATAAACAAGAATAACACCAAATTGAAAATAGCTGCGTCAGTGAGGGTAGCTGGTCTTACATCCACCAGCGTAAGTAATAAGACCATTGAAAACTAACACCCTTGCTGGCGGAAGAACATCGATTGTCGGTCAGTCATGTGAGATGGGACTAAAACTGACTAACGTAGATGATGACTATGATGACTTAACACAGGTGATGACTTAAGCAGATGGTGACTAATCTAACCAGAAGCAAGGTCACTTCTCTTCATAATATAATTTATCTCGGAATGATCATCAGTGATTCATATTTTTAACCTCTCCTTGGCGAATATTTCTTTAACTAATTATTCTAACCTCTATTCAATTCCTTCCTATAGTATATTAGATACTGTAAGTATCATGACCACGACCATGATTATAACAATCACGACCATGATTATAACAACCACGACCATGATCATAACCACGACCATGATTATAACAACCACGACTATGATTATAACAAACACGACCATGATTATAACAACCATGACTATGATTATAACAACCACAACTATGAGTATAACAACCACTACCATGATCATAACAGTCACGACTATGATTATAACAACAACGACTCTGATTATAACAACCACGACCATGATTATAACAACCCGACCATGATTATAACAACCACGACCATGATTATAACACCGACCATGATTATAACAACCACGACCATGATTATAACAACCACGACTATGATTATAACAATCACGACTATGATTAGACCAACCACGACTATGATTATAACAAAAAACGACTATGATCATAACAACCACGACCATGATTATAACAACCACGACCATGATTTTAACAACCACGACCATGATTATAGCAACCACGACCATGATTATAACAACAACGACTATGATTATAACAACCACTTTTATGATCATAACCACGACCATGATTGTAACAACAACGACTATGATTATAACAACCACGTCCATGATCATAACCACGACAATTATTATAACAACCACGACCATGATTATAACAACCAAGACCATGTTTATAACAACCACGACCATGATTATAACAACCACGATCATGGTTTTAACAACCGCGACCATGATTGTAACAACCACGACAATTATTATAACAACCACGACCAGTTTTAACAACCACGACCATGTTTATAACAACCACGACCATGATTATAACAACCACGATCATGGTTTTAACAACCACGACCATGATTGTAACAACCACGACCATGATTATAACAACCTCGACCATGATTATAACAACCACGACCATCTATCTAATATACTATAGGAATAGCCGTGTGTCTGTGTGTGTGTGTGTCTGTTCTGGGCAGCCGAAATGGCACAATCGTTTTTCATCAAACTTGGTGGAAAAATCACAAAAATCGTAGAGTGGAACAAACCTGGTCCTATGTCGATGGTTTTCTTTAGCAAGGCATTAATTAACCATTTTATTTACGCTGGAAAACGATGTCGCTGTACTGTGTCAGCCGGACGGCAGTTGGCGATAGCCAAACACAGTATTCGAACTTTCACGCCTTGGTAAACTGTACCGGACTCACCATCGGGCACGAAGGGCCCAAGATCACTGTTAGAATCTATATTCCTGCACCTTAATCATTGCTGATGCATTATTAAAAATCAAATGAAGAATGTAGAGTCCTCTCCACTAGTGCTTTTGCAGAAGGAAATTCTCAGAGTAAATATACTATGGAATCAGCATAAAACAATATTAAAACAAATATCTCACTGTAATGATTTGTGGAATACTTATATGGAAGAGCCCCTATAAATGAACTATTGAGTGGGACTGTATATTGAAGTTGAGAACTTTATTTCTATTATTTTAGCACTTCAAGCTTTACCTATACTTGTTCCTGTAGCTGAATTAGTGTTTCCAAATGTACCTTCACCTGTATTAGCGTCACCAGTTTTAACTGTACTTGAAAACTTCTAACATAGTAAGATGGTGGTGTAAGGAAGACTTTACTGTACGTGTTGCAGATGATCAAGAACGGTCGTGGTTCCATCATCAACATGTCGTCAGTAGCAAGCACCCTGCGAGGCATTGAGCGTCGGTGTGTATATAGGCACAACGAGGCCGCTGTCATAGGTCTTACTAAAGGAGTGGCCAGAGATCACATACGTCAGGGAGTCAGGTAAGTGCATACTGTTTACATACATATTTTTGCTCGCTTACCCAATGACACACACACACACACACACGCACACACTACTACTACAACTACTACTACTACTTTGTACTCGGAATCGAGTATGACGATCATCCAGCTTTGATATAATAATATGAGTTATTAAGGGTGTCACCTAGGTTGGTGAGCTCTGAGGTGACTAACGAGGCCGATACGGACTGACGGTAAATCACATAAGTTGCATATGTGGGAGACTACATCTATTACGGGAGGGCGGCGGCAACGTCTTTCCGGCGTTGGCGCGCGTTTGCTTCGTTATGCAATCGGGCTAACTCGAAAGTATTGATACCTTCTTTATATGGAGCTCCTCTAAGCGTTACGGTGTGTAGTAATCGTCTCCCATGTGAGTGGGTCGATTTGGCATTTTCATGTTTGTCTTAAGACTATCTTCTACCTCTTCAGTTACCCACCAGCAATACGTTTACTATTTGTTAGGTGACTGTAAAGTAGCTGCTTTGGCAGTCTACTGTCGTTCACGCTGGTAACATGGCCAGTCCAGCATAGTTGTTCGTGAATAATGATAGCCTCGACGCTTCTACAGTTGGTGTCATCGAGAATACTGGCATGTGTTCTCTTGTCTTCCCAGCGAACTCGGAGGATGGAACATAGACTACGTTGGTGAAAGTTTTCAAGTGCCTTGAGGTGCCTCCTATATGTGATCCATGTCTCCTGACATATAGCTGGGTGGGGAGGACCACTACTCGATATACTTATAACTTTGTAGATAATTTCAGTTCCCTACAACTGAAGACACGATTTCGGGTCTGCCAAAGGCTTGAGATGGACATCTGATGCGATGCTGAATCTCTTCATCGATGTCCTCGGTGGTGGACAGGTGAGCCAAGATACCGAAAGTGGGTAACATTAGTGAGGTAGTACCATTACGCTGGATCGATGGTGTAGGTGTAGCTGAACCAGGGGCAGGCTGAAGAATCTTAATCTTACGTACATTCACCTCAAGGCCGAAGTGTGCATATGCATTTGCATAGGTGTTCAGGATTTCCTGTAGGACGTGTTCAGTGTGAGCGACAAGGGTGAGGTCATATGCATCCTGAGGTTCAGTAATGGAAGCTGCCGATTTGTTCTTGCCTGGAGTCGTCTTATGTTGAAATAACCCTTCATCCAGTACCGGATGTCCACCTGCTGGCTAAATTTGCGCCGGCACTAGTAGAGGAAGGCAACCAAGAAAATGGAAAAAGAGTTGGTGCCAGTAAGCACCCTTCTGTAACCCCCGTTTGAATGGGGAAGAACTCAGATTGGGTGCAACTCTATTAATAAACCGTTTATTATTATTATTATTATTACTATTATTATTATTATTATTATTATTATTATTATTATTATTATTATTATTATTATTATTATTATTGTTATTTATTATTATTATTATTATTATTATTATTATTATTATTATTATTATTATTATTATTATTATTATTATTATTATTTATTATTATTAATATTAATATTATTATTATTATTATTATTATTATTATTATTATTATTATTATTATTATTATTATTATTTTTTATAACACTACATCCTTGACAACCGGGGATGCTGTGAAGCAGCCCCCCTAGGCTATATCAACATAATCAAAAGTAGCAATTTCGTTTTGGAAAGAAGTGGGATCTGTGTTGAACAGTGATGAACAGTGCTTAAGCCGGTGAATTAAGCAGTAGACAGTACCAGTGACAGCCGTGACCCATCAGTGAGATAAGCACCCCCGGGAACCAACCACTATCTTCTGACCAGGCTGTGTTTATCACTCCACCCTGGGAACAACAGTGGGCCGGCTTTACACAAGACTATGATATAACACAACACCACCTACCAGAGAGTGAGGTACTGTGACATGACACCACCCCACACCACCCGGTGAATCCATGACTACATGAGGTCCTTCACATCAACATCTAGGGACGAGTCACAACACCACGTGGCCTACATAACATAAGCACATAAGAATGGAGGAAACAGCAGTGGGCCCATTGGCCCATACTGGGCAGTCCAATTTACACCCAACCCCTATTGCTCATATATCCATCCAACCTATGTTTGAAGCTATCCATCGTAGTCGAGTCAATAATGATGTTTGTTAACTTGTTCCATTCATCCACAACTCTATTTCCAAACCTAAATCTAAATTTGTCTAATTTAAAACAATTGTTACGAGTTCGCTCCGGGTTGCATAGTTTGAGTACTTTTATTATGTCCCCTTTGTTTAGCCCTGACTTCCATTTACACACCTCTATCATATCGCCCCTCACTCTACGTCTCTCGAGGGAGTGCAAATTAAGATGCTTTAACCAGTCACTGTACTCGAGGTTCCTAATGGCGGGATTAGTCTTGTCATTCTCCTCTGAATTCTTTCTAGGAATTCTATATCCATCCTGTAATAAACTGACCAGAATTGAACGACGTAATCCTTTGTATGAACCCAAGTACTTTATTTGCCTTGTTTCGAACAAATACACATTGTTTACTTGGCTTAAGATTCCTACTTATCATTACTCCTAAATCTTTCTCACAGTCGGATTTCTCTATAACATCGTTGTTCATCTAATATTTTGGTTCTCTGTTTACATCTCCTAGACTAAGTACTTTACATTTGTCCACATTGAATTTCATCTGCCATTTTTCAGACCATTCAAAAAATATGTTTAGATCATCCTGTAGTTCTGCGGAGTCCTCGTAAGGTTTAACTACACGCCCTATTTTAGTGTCATCAGCAAATTTACATATGTTGCTGTCTACGCCGATATCTATGTCGTTTATGTATATAATAATTATAAAGGTCGAAGTACTGAGCCTTGGGGTACTCCACTAGTGACGTTACTCCAATCGGATTTAGTGCCGTAAATACTCACTCGCTGTGTTCTGTCCTGTAACCACGCATTAATCCATTATTTAATATTTTCTCTAATGCTAAGAGCCTCCACTTTTTTTATTAGTCTTTCGTGGGGGGACTCTGTCGAAGGCTTTGCAAAAGTCAAGATATACCACATCATAGTCGTGCCCCTCGTCCACTGATTCGCAGATAGCTGGAAAGAATGTTAATAGATTAGTTAAACATGAACGCCTACTTGTGAAGCTACGTTGGAAATCATTGATCAACTTGTGCTTTTCCAGGTGATTTCGAAAATTAGAGTTTGAAATTATAGGTTCCAATAATTTGCCTGCAATTTATGTTAAGCAGATTGGACAGTAGTCAGAGGATAGTGAGCTATCACCCTTCTTAAAAATCGGTATTACATTCATCTATCCTCCAGGATTCTGGTACTACACCCGTTTTTAAGGGCGTGTTAAACAATTTTACTTAGTGTATACTAAGCTCTTCCTTGCATTCCTTTAATAATCTGGCAAATATCTCATTGGGACCTGGCGACTTATTAGTCTTTAGCTTGTCTATTTGCTTACTAACGTCGTTACCAGTCACTACTCTCTCGTTTAATCTATTTCTTCACTATCTCTGTATATAGTCGGTGCCTCGGGTATCATGTTCAAATTTTCGGAGGTGTAAACTGTTGAAAAATATTGTTTTCAGATTATTGCTCATTTCTCCGTCGTTATCAGTGGTATCTGACTGTATTAATCTAATCATTTCTCTTGTTTTAGTTTGATACATTTGAAATAATCCCCTGGGGTTTGACTTCGCCTCCCTTGCTACCTTCAGTTCATTATTCCTCTTTGCTTTTCTAATATCGGTCTAAACCCAACTAGCCAATACTGTATAATAATCTCGGAGGTAAACTTCACCATGATTTATTCTTCTACCTATAGCATTCCTTTGTCCAATAATATTCTTTAAATAATTGTTTATGCATTTAGGATCATTGTTGTCTGACCTGAGTTTTCTGTATGGTATGTTCTGCCTTTCTGCTTAAAGAAATTCATTATTTAAATTGTTGCAGAACTCGTCAACCTCAGATCTCATGATCAGGTCATCTTCAGCCGTCATATTTTGCGAGGATGTCGTTCTTAAGTCTCCAGGTAAAGTGAGCTCGCCGTCTTAGGGAACATTGCGTGAGGTCTCCTCATGTGAGGTCATGTAATACATCCCCAAACGTAATAACCCTTCTCTCAGCTGCCTTTTCAACCTATCAAAATTTTTCCTTCTGAAATTTGGGACTTTAATGGAATTTTCCTTGAGTCTGCCATTAAATTATAATTGAAATCTTATTACTTTGTGATCGCTATTGACAAGTTAGTTCCCTACCTCGAC